TCCTCCTCCTCCTCCTCCTCCGCCTCTTCTCTTCAAATGACTTCTCCCAAGGCAACGGGCACGGGCGGCTTTTCAGCGTGGCCCCCTCCCTCCCCTGCGTGCCCCTCGTGCCCCCGCCCGTCCCCGAGGGCCCCTAGTCCTTGACCAACTTGTACACGTGGTGCTGGGCGCCGTGCTCGCTGGTGGACACCTCGAAAACGAAGGCGATGCAGAGCAAGGTCTCCTGGGTATCCCTGTTGGTAACAACCTGTGGCAGAGGAGAGGAGAGCGTGTTGGGAGGGGGCTGAGCCATGGGGAGGTCACAGGACCACAGAAGGGGTTGGAAGGGACCTGAAAGATCACCTAGTCCAACCCCCTGCCACGGGTAGGGACACCTCCCATTAAACTAGGTTGCTCAAAGCCCCATCCAGCCTGGTCTTGGACACCTCCAGGGATGGAGCATCCACAGCTTCCCTGACCAGAGTCTCACCACCCTCATAGCAAAGAACTTCTTCCTAATTTTTAATCTAAATCTCCCCTCATTTAAAACCACTACTCCTTTTCCTATCACTACAAGCCCTTTTAAAGAGTCCTTCCACAGCTTCTGACAGGCCCCCTTCAGATACTGGAAGACCCCAATGAGGTCTCCCCAGAGCCTTCTCTTCTCCCCTGTACTTGGTAAGGCCACAGCTTGAGCACTGGGGTCAGTTTTGGGCACCACAGGATCAGGAGGACATTGAAGTGCTGGAGTGGGTCCAGAGAAGAGCAACAAAGCTGGTGAAGGGTCTGGGGAATATGGCTCATGAAGAGCGACTGAAGGACCTGGGGTTGTTTAGTCTAGAGAAGAGGAGGCTCAGGGGAGACCTTCCTGCTCTCTACAACTCCCTGACAGGAGGCTGGAGTGAGGTGGGGGTTGGTCTCTTCTCCCAGGTTACTAGCAAGAGGACAAGAGGCAATGGGCTCAAGTTGTGCCAGAGGAGGCTCTGACTGGATGTAAGGAAGAATTTCGTTACTGAAAGAGCAGTGGGGCATTGGCCCAGGCTGCCCAGGGGGGGGCGGGGGTCCCCCCCCCT